CAATTTAAAACAGGTGTTTCTTAATTAACACACGGGTAAAAAAACAAAAAAATTCGGCAAAATTCAACTGGGAGCATGGCTGCATGGGACGATCAACAACCATATACCCAAAGGTTTAACGAGAACGCAAAAAGGACAAACCACTCAATCCCACACAGGTTTGGGCCAAACTATCAGTCCAGCCGGCAAAAAGGCGGGAAGGGGACAAGGCGGGTCCCGCCGTTGATCTCTACAGATCGTGTGGCTCAGGATCTTTTTGATCAGATAAAGATCTCCAAAAGCACAGTGTCTAATTTCAGGTCCCACACTACAACCGTCAGTAGACAATTATTAGTGTCTGAACAATTCTGTTTGCTCTTTTTTTACTCTTTTCATTTTTCATTTTGCTACGTTGAAAAAACAAGTCGGTGACGGTGATTGCTGCCAGCTGGAGCGTCTAACTGCCCAACTGCTTCTCGCTAAAGTTACATCACTGGGCCCATCACTAGATCCAAAAACCATTTTCCACGTGGACGGTGACGATTCATTTGATTTGAAGATCGGTTCGGTTCTAGGATTGCAGCACACCAAATTCTAGAAGCGCGTGGTTCACAAAAATAACCAGGCTGATTGCTGAGATATGAATTAAATGGAAGGGTGGTATGAGAGAAATAAAGAAGATAACAGAGAGACAGTATATATATATTGCTAATTTTTTTATTTAGTTAATTTAAAATTATAAAATAATTTTGACAAAGCTTTTTTAAAAATTTTTGTAATTTAAATGGATAAATTTATCAATTTTATCCTTACTTAAATAGAATAAGTTGTAAGAAAATGTTAGCAAAGTTTTTTAAAAGTTTTCTAAAAGTTATTTATCATTAATTCTTCTCTCTTAAATTTAAAATTTTTTTGGAGTATTGTTTTGTTTGAAAACTTGAATTGAATATAGAAACTTTTTTTTGGGTTAAAAAGCAAGTTTTTCAAAATTTTTAAATTATGAAAGAATTTCACTTATATACACCTCATAAAATAATTATGTCAAATCGCCTCTAAATTAAAATTATTATAAAAAGAATTAAAGAGTTAAATGGAAGAGTGCATGACCTTGGAGTAAATTTTTTTGAAAGTGGTAATTAATAAACTTCATTTTATAAGGGAAAATTAACAATTTTAGAATTTAAGCTCTTAACTTCACTAGAAGATGATTTGTACTAAATCAAATCATAAATTTTCTTCTTTTTTAACTAAACTAAAAATTTTATATATACATTCTAGCTATGCGGCGTCAACAGTAAACAATAACAAAACCTAATATTATATAACAAGACCAGCTCCATACGTATAACACAGCACAAGTAGCGACTTTATTTCAAAAATGAGTATTAGTAATCATTAATTCCCAGCTCCAGAAACAGAAAATGGGAATTACCAAAAAAAGAAAAAAGAAACTGAAAAAATAGGAGAAATGAACGATAGAGGAGCAATAATTCTGTCCGTGGAAAAACGCTCCATCTGTACGAGTGAGGTTGGCTGAGTGTCTTGGATAAACCCACAAGTCAAAGGTACATTCAACGGAGTATCACGTGAGATTCTTACAGGCTGGGAGTGGGCCCAGCCGACGTGGATAAGGTTGAAGTCATCCTCAAACTGTTTTATTTTAAGTGACAGTGTTCCCCTTTTACTAGATCAGAAACCGTTGATTTCCCAGCGACTATGGATTTGGGTCTTACAGCTGTAAATCTGACGGAAGAGAAAAGTAGTCAAAAAGAAGTGGGCCCACTTTCCATTTATAAAACGTTTGTTATGTGTTTCACAGCTCTGCGTTTCCTGTCATGTTTTAAACGCTCCTCATTCCTCATAATCTTTGCCAATACGAGAATGCTTTTTATTTTTCCATCCCCAGATCCACTTGTCCTCTCGAAATTCCTATTTTGCCCCAGCCCAGCAATGACATTGGATTAATTTCGTAAATTGAAGGCCATAATAGAAGATAAAAAATGGAAACCAGCTAATGGATGCTCGGTTTTGTTTTATATTTCTTCTTTTAGTGTACACATTTGCTTGGTTTTATTTACCCTTTTTCTCTTGGTACCAACAAATCTACTCCCCTTTTCCTATAAAAGTAAACAAATCTGCTTCCCTCTTTTAGTATAGAATTTGAATTTGCACATCAAATTATTATACATAAAAAAATTAATGCGTTGAGTTATTGTTATAGTAATTGTGAAAAAAGTTATTATAACATTTTTTTTCCTGTAAATATGACAATATAAGGTCTGAAAAACTCTTTGAAATATCACTTTTATTTCAATTTTAGAGTAAGACCCATTGAGCTTTTAACAACAAATTAAAATCAAATATATAATTTGAAAAAAATATTATATAATTTAAATAATATCAAACTATATAATTATAATTATTAAAAATAAAATAAATTTTATAATATTAATAATTTTATTTTTATTTTATTATCATTTAATAACTTTTATTTTACTATTTAATGTAGTATAAAGAACCTATTTAATTTCAACTATAGAAAACAATAACTTCAAATTTTCAATAGAGAAGGACTCAAGAAAGACCTAAAATGGTAAACTCACAAATGGAGACAAAATAGAATGTCAGACTTTTGCTTGTAGGAAAAATAAATAAATAAATAAATAAAAGAATAAAAAGGCGTGGGTGTGCGGATCAACACACACCCTCTCCCCTGCTTAGACCACCCACCAACTTTACAAAAGCCAGTTTCCTGGAAGTACCCTTTTCCTGGGGCGCCGATTTCGTTCATGCACCTCCTTCTCCTCCCCCCCATATTTAAACCCTAAACACTCCCCAATCTTCTTCCTATCTTCTTCCTTCTTCCCTCAAACCCAAAAACTATATCCGCCATTAATTGCACTTCCTCGGATTATTTATTTAATTAAGCTCGTTGTTTTTCTTTGTTCTTGATTTTTCCTTAAAATGGAAGAAATGAACAGGAGTTCTTCACATGCGTCCTCCTCTGATTCTTCTTCCTCGGAATCATCGTTCTCGGCGAGAGCAACGAACAAGGCGGAGAGGGTTAAAGGTCCGTGGAGTGCGGAGGAGGATATGATTCTGACTCGGCTGGTCGAGCGATACGGGCCAAGGAACTGGTCCTTAATAAGCCGGTATATCAAGGGACGGTCTGGAAAATCTTGCCGGCTGAGATGGTGTAACCAGCTGAGTCCTAATGTTGAGCACCGGCCGTTTTCTCCAGAGGAGGATGAGACTATCCTGGCGGCACACGCGCGATATGGGAACCGGTGGGCCACCATTGCGAGGTTGCTTCCGGGGCGGACGGATAATGCGGTGAAGAATCACTGGAACTCCACGTTGAAGAGGAGGGCAAGAGAAACACATCAACAGCAGGGGTTGCCAGTCCTACAGCACGAACAAATTCAGTTCCAGCATGAAGATCGAGGAATGGCCGGTGGCGACGTGGTGTTGGCATCTGAGGGGATGGACGAAGAAGCGTTTACCGCGCTGACTCTTGCGCCCCCGGGGAATGGTGGTATGGAGACGGTGGAGAGGAGGAGGGAGGAGAATTTACCGGCCGGGTTCTGGGAGGTGATGAGGGAGGTAATTGCGAGGGAAGTGAGGGAATATATGAACTCAACGCTGCTTTCTGAGGGTTCGGGATTTCATTAGGATACGGCCAAGCTTCGGGCATTCTAGTATAATTTATCCTTGTTCTATAATTTATTTTTTCATTAGGAAGAATTTAACTAAAAAAATGTACTAAAATCGCGGATGGCTGATTGTCTGAGCTCCGGACAATAAACAAATTTGCTTTGTGTGAGGTATTACAGCCTGTCCACGCTGTCAATAATGTAAACCCCAAAAAAATACTAGTTTATTGTCACTAGATTAGATATTGTAGTAGGAGCAGCTTTTAAATTTCTCTCCCTTGCTTAATATTACGTTTTTGAACCACCAAGAGCACCAACAATACCAAGAGTTGAGTTTAGTGGAGGTGGAGTTGATAAAGAAATTGGAGAAAACCAATTTTTATTATGCAATTCGAAAAGAGAGACCTTAATCGAGTTTTTATCTATTAATTTTAAAGAAATTTAGTATTATATACAACAATGATGGAGATGGTTTTAATGTATAAAAAAAAAAAAATGAGGTCTCTTAACTAGAAAGCTTGCAACTATAATGAGCTAATATTATTATATATGCTACTACAACAATGACAAAGATGTACTATATTTCATATAATACTTTTTTTTTTAGTGATTAAGATATTTTTAAATTAGTTTTGTTATATTTTTTTACACTTTAACATTAATTTTTTTTAATCTTGTCAAAGGCATTTTAAGATTAATTTTTCTTTTGTTTAGTAAAAATGAGTCATTAATATTAAAACTAAAAAATTTATAAAAAATTATTTACTCGTTTGACCTTGTTAAAGAATTCAATCATAATTAATAAAGAGTGGATGTTAAAGAATCCGATCATAATCAATAAGGTGTTAGGTGTGGAGTAGACTCATTGATAACTAAGCCACAAGTTATTAATTTTTTTATATGATACTTTGGTATATATAATGGAAGTAGTTGTTTTGTAATTTGGCTTACACACTATTTATTTTATAATCATTGATAAAAAAAAAATTAGTGCAATATCAGAAAACCTAACTTTTATCAATGACTAAATATACGTGAGTTAACTGCACAATACATTTTTTATATCTTATATGATTTGAATTTTTTGGCCAATACATAATTTTATATTAAAAGAGTGGATGATACCAGTTTAATTTAAGATAATATTGTAGTATAGAAAAAGTCAATTGCAAAATGTTGTTTTATAAGCTGAGTGTTGGATTTATTGATAAATAATTTTTGTTTTATAAATTAAATTTAAAGTTTAAAATTTAAATTATCACTAGAAAAATAATAGTAGTTTTATTTAATTGCCTATTATATACATTTCTCAATATTTTGTAAACGATTTACTATATTTAGTTAGAGACTCAAAACTACAGGATAAGATGCTCCTGAAAAAGTAAAAATTACGTATGCATTCAACTGTAAGTTGAAAATCTATAACTGGAACATGTTGACACATTTTAATTATCGTGTCCAAATTACAGAAACAGGTTAGTATGGACCTACATGGAATTACAAAAACAAAGTTAAAATATTTAGTGCAATTAATTAAGAACGCAACTTCAATATATGCTACTATATATGTCGTGGTCGATTGTTGGTTCCGTGCAAGAACAATCTAACATTTTTTGGTGGAAGAACAATCTTACATTACTTACTGCATATTTTGCACTTGCATTGGTTGAAATAAAGGACAAATCATAAACTGCCAATAATTCATTTTAGAACGTACGGTTATTTGCATTTGCCTATAGGGCTAAAGTGAGACAATATTGAACGTAATGAATATCCATATATATAAATCATGTTTATTACGGAACTAAACGCTAGCTTATCTACTAATTCGACTCCACCCCCCCTAAAAAAAAAAAACCTGCTTAAGAATATAAAAACTTGAAAATGAAATACAAAGACCTTCGTATCATGAATGTCCAAGTTGGATTATATTATACATTTATTTTGTTTATGAAAGATTTTAAATAATATAGTTACAATATCTCATAAAATTATAAATTTATAATTATAATATATTATAAATACGTTCTTAAATTAAAAATTAATTATATAATAACACTATTATTATAAATTTATAATATAAAGTGATGACACTATAATTATATATGCGATTTTAAATTTTAATATGACATCTTTTGAAGTATCAATGGGTCAGATTACTTTACAATATATCTCCGGAAATTAATCAACAGAAATCAAATAAAAATGTTTTAGATGTCATAATGTATAAAACAAAGAAAGGTGAATCTTGCACCGACGATTTATTGATCCGAATGGAAGAAATTTGGTTTTTATTAAGTAAATCTCGAGTTCAAATATTATGAATAAAAAAATAAGTTCTAAGAGAGTTTTCTCTTTTATAAGGTTTAACGCAACTCGATTCTAAATTAATTGAGATCCAATATAATTACCGGTAACCAAGAAAGGTAAATCTAACTTGAGAATATTAATTTATTTAATGGTATGAAAACAAAGTTTTAGTTTCGTGGAAGAGGGGGAAAACCAGAAAAGCAAAGATTGCGACAGAGGGCCACTTTGATTTGTTTGATTTGGCCGGATTAATGTAAATGTAGAATTTACTCAAAGCTGTGTCCCGCTTTATTGTGAGCAGCACCTTTGGACTTAATTTTGATCGACAAAAGCTAAATCAAGGTAGGCGGGCATATTTTAAATGTGTCAATTAATTTAAGTTTTTCCTTTCTGTTTGGTTCTTGAAGTCTTAAGATGCAAGAGCCATCAAGCTTTTGTTTGAATTATTGATTTGATTGTCAATATATGAAGAACATTAACAAACACAATCATGTATGCTCACCAAAAGGTAAAAGAAAAACAAAACATGTGTAAATTTAATAGCATTTATTTTTTGACCCCTTTGTTTTTTATTCATTCAATCATGTCCCTCCTAAATGATTTAATATTTGTATCTTCCAACTAAAGCAACGGAACACTGTTACTGTTTATAGTGCGGCAGAATAGGCATCGACACTGTTTCTCTTCTCTATCAATGAGTCAAACGCGGCCATGGCACTGCGACAAACTTCATCATCCCAATCTTGCAGTCGTCGCCTTGGCCGGAAGCAAAGTAGTACGGTCTCCATTGGTTTATGACAACGGCAAACCCATCCTTTCTTCCTTGTTTTGGATTCGCTAACAGCTTTGCTTTGCTGAAGTCGCAGGTAAGGTAGCTCCACAGGTTCGGCAGCAAGTAGACATTGTGAGGTGATTCATACTTGAACACTGCACACGTATTCTCAAAAACAATTAATGTAAGAACTCATCAAGTAAAAATTAAGTATTTAATTATGAAAGAATGAAATTAATACGGATTTCGTGAGAAGATTAAAGAAAGACCTAGAGTGTCATGAATGTAGAAGGGGCTATTCTTGATGGCCCAGTCGGTGTAGTTGAAGCCATAGCGCCAGTTTTCTGATCCTCCGACGACGACAGTATTGGCCTGAGTTACTGCCAACAGAGAAGCAATTACCAAGAGGATGAATGTGCTGCAGCTAATCGAAGCCATTTTTGCTTGCAAATTTCTCTAGTTGGGGGGTAAGGAATATTAATGCTGAATTTTGAGTGGATGAGATGGTGATAATGGGGGAATTCGGTTGAGGTTTATATAGGAACAGAGCAGTTAGCTCTGTTCAAGGTCATCGGACGACTAGATTCCTGTCAAATTTGCTAATTACTTTAGTAACACTCTTGAAAATACCCATTAACATCTGATTCTGAGAGGTCTTCATGAGGGGGGTTTTTTTTCTTGGTTGACGAACGGAAATGAACGTCGGAAGTTCGGTGTATGTCCATTTTGGACAAAGAACAGAAGGGTTTTGTCCATTTTGAACAAAGAACAGAAGGGTT